TAGGTATGATTATTCGGTAAAGTAGTGGTTGACTAGCTGTTACATTTAAGAATCAATATTTTATTTTTAAAACTATACATTAAATTTTCAAAAGCTACTTCAAAAGCTACCTCTAACTTCAAAAGCTAATAGTACTAGCTTTTAATAAAAGCTACCTCCACCATTAAAAACACTTGAACCATTACTTTGCCAAACACTCACAATTTTTGTTGAGTAGTAGTTTGACCTGGTCAAACCACTAAAAGCTACTCAAAAACTAGTGCCGCACACGCTAATAGTCAATGATATTATATAAGCTTTCAGTGGTACGTTTAAAACTGGTCCCACTTACCCACCTCTCTCTTCTTTTTCACCCCCATGTGCTTTACAATACTTTTTAATATTTTAAGGTTACATATCAAACCTACATTAGTACATCCTGAAGGGGGGGGGTTGGGCCACGTGGACTTCTGTTAAATGCTTTTAAGATAATACTTGTACAATATAGATAACGGGATAACAAAATAGTATAATTAAGTAGGGTTGAGAGACCGTCCCACGACTAGATTGGAGAGGAGATCGGTGCTATTACTTTTTAAAAAGCTTAAAAAAACCGATGGCAATACATATTTACATTTATGATTTAGGTCTTGTAAATTTCTTTTATTCAGGTTGTGACAATTTAAATTGATTCGAGTTTATTCCAACTTTGCTTAATATTGAGTCCAGGTTATTCTAGTTGATTCAAGCTATGGTATTTAATGTTTGATTGACATTTCGTGCTCTTTTGTAATTGACACATATCTATCTATACTATATATTAAAAGGTGTTTATAAAATTGTGTATGTGTCACGTGTTTCTTTTCTTACACATGTATAGCGCCACATCATCATTCAACAGCCTTTAGCATCTTGCCACAATCTTAATTAAAAATGCATACAAAGAGATTTGAACTCCTAACCTCATTGAATGGAAACCAAATGCATTAACAACTTAGCTAGAATTAATTCATGTTTTATTAATCCAAATTTATATATAAATACATACATGTATTAGAATGCAGAATAAAAACCAAAAAAATCCAAAATAAATTATTAATGTCAATGTATACTAATTTACCTATGCTAAATAAATTAATAAGTCTTTTAAACCTTCTAATATAAAAATAAAATTATTCAAAGTATCAATCGGGGCAAAGCCGCCCAGGTCACACACTAGTTGTGATTTATATGTTTGTCAAAACACGCACAAATGCACAATCATGAATTCATAATAACTAATATCAGTGAGTGAAAATCGGAGTATAAAAATCACTAGGAATGATTAAGCCATATCTTATCGTGCCTTTTCTTGATATAAATCACAAGGAATGATTAACCAAGATCATGTAAATGATACAAAAGGATAAACTGAATAAACTAAATAAGAATGAAGGTATTAATTTTGAATTAAGTTAGATCACCTTGGTTAGAGATGTTATTTTTTTTAAGGTCAGTTTCATATCACTATCAATTAGGTGTTTTGTGATCTTGTTATCCTCCCTAAAAATAGTATTTTGTTTTCAACGACAATCCAAGGAAAACAAAGGCCATCTTACGCATTTGAGGTTCCATTTCTACTAACTTCAATTAATCCATCAATTAAAAATTAATTTTTAAGACAAAGAAATTGAAATAATTCTACAATTCAATATCTTATGAGCACTTAATTGAAATTATAGGGTGGTATATGTAAGCACTAATTGAAATTTTGGCACCTATTAGAATAGTTTCAAGATCTGATATACCTGTAAGTCCCTGTTTAGTTCATCTTAAAAAAATAATATTTAGTAAAAATATGTTCAGTAAAATTAGTTTTAGCTCAGTAAAAATAATTTCAGTTAATTAAATAAATATCTGAAGAAGAAACATAATAGAGAACCAGCAAAATTAATTTCAGTTCAGCAAAATTAATTTCAGTTCAATAAAATTTATTTTAGTTCAATAAAAATAATTTAACTTCAACAAAATAATTTCATTTAAGTAAAATTAATTTCAGTTCAGTAAAAATAAGGTGAAGTAATTGAGACCTAAGACTTCATTATTATTCATAGTTTTCAATAGTATTTACGTAGTTAAGTACTTATGTTAATTTAAAAGCCAAAAGGCTAAGCTTTCATGAAGTAACGAGACAAATTGTATTGACATTTGACAAACAAACTAAATAAAAGCATTGATGTGAATATGATAGTCTTAGGCCCTGTTAAATCCACCTTAAAAAAATAATACTCCCTCCATTTTTAAATACTTGCTCCATTTTTCCATGCGCGGAGTTTTAGGAGAAATTGGCAAAAGTAATTAAATATGGAGGTAGTGAGGCTAGTGAAAAAATAAAAAATTATAAAAAGCAAAAGTAGTGGAGAAATTGAAGGAGAGAGAATATAAAATTAATAAAATATGATATTTATTGGGGTCCACTAGGTGAGAGAAATGAGTTAAATATTGTAAAAGTTTTTCAAATAAGGAAATGGAGCAAGTATTTAAAAACGGCCGGAAAAGGAAAATGGAGCAAGTATTTAAAAACGGAGGGAGTATTAAGTAAAAATCATTTTAGTTCAATTATTATAAGTTCAGTTCAGTAACATTAATTTCTGTTCAGTAAAAATAATTTCAGTTCAATAAAAATAAGTTCAGTTCAATAAAATTCAGTTTTCTTAAAAAAGAATTATAATAGAAAAAAAAATTCTTCAAAAAAAAATTATAATAGAAAATCAGTAAAGTTAATTTCAGTTCAGCAAAAATAATTTCAGTTCAGTAAAATTAATTTAATTAAGTTTAGTAAAAATAATTTAAGTTCAACAAATATAATTTTGTTTCAGTAAAAATAATTTTAGTTTAGCAAAAATAAGGTGAAGTGAACGGGGCCTTACTTCATATTCACCAAATGGACCTAATTTTATCTAATAAATCTTTTTATTATCTATTTATCTCCTCTTCCCTGCCTTATAAAAAGTAGGAGATTGCTCTTATGAATAGTGCATGGACCATTATACCCCTCAAAATATTTGTTTACCTTCTTACCTCCGTGTGTAATTTTGTAATTTTTTTCTTAGACCCATCAATTAATAATAAATTAAATGGAGAATGGCCATATAAAGTTTAAAATTTTCTATATATAATGGAGGTTATAGTTAATTACATGACAACATTAATCACTTGATAACGAAAGGTTATTGCTTTATATTGCCGTTATTTTAAAGTAGCTCAACTAAAGTTTAGAACATTGCACAGCAACACAACATTCAACACATTTATCGTTTATATGCAAATAACGTTGATAAGATATTATACACAAACCGACGTAGAAAGCTACCATAAGAATAAAGAACATCGATAATAATTCTTCTCAAATGGCTATCTATTCCACGCTCATCACGCGCGTTGGAATTCCTAGTTAAAACAAAAGTACCCATATTTATGATCTCCGTTTTCACTTTTTCTTGATATGCTTTGTTATAGTAACTGAGTAGAACTTAGAAAAATCGAGCTAATATTTTTTTTATCACTAGAGCGGTAACGTTTTTTTGACTTGGTCAAAACAGTAGTTAATTAGATTTTAAAATACCCCTACCCACCAATAAGGCCATGAGCAACATTTCTCTAATTGCGCGTGCTTACTTTTTAAAAAAATTTACCCCTCTATTCCTAATACTAGAACGTAGTCAACATACCCGTGCTAAACCACATGATATATATTCATTGCGATAAATCTTTGAATATTTAGGTTTCTTGAAAAAATAATGGATGTAATGGGTGCATGGTGCACCTGGGTCTAATACATACTATATGATGATCATAGGGTCTAATACAAGACACACATACATGAACCCATTCAAGGTCTGAATGTGCCATCTTTAATCCAAAATTCCAATCAGACATGCATAAAAGTTACTTCCTAGCAACATCATGAGCCACCCTTAGTTATATTAATACTTTTACTTTGTTTAATAAAAAAAAAAGGCATCACTTGCAATTGACATAGAAAAGAAGAGTGGAGAATATAGAGAGAAAGGAATTTATGTGATTTTCAAGCTAAGGGTATAAGAGAGCCATTACTTCAAGTTTAAAGTTAAATTAATTTAGGTAAGATAGCTACTTCTTGACACCCTAGCCTTCAATCGAGCTCAAAATTGCATTCAAGTTCGAATTATCTATAAGATAACAATGTTCATGAACAACGCTTAAGGAGCTTGTTTATTAATTTAGTGTTGACCGTAATTAACATAAGAAGTAATTCGTTCATTAAACAAACATTGTTTATACTCAACTAAATCTAGTGTAAATTTTTATATACACCCAGATGCACCGTGTACCCAACTAACTCAAGGTTAGTTTTTGCTCTTCATTTGATGATTAAATGAAAAACAATCATCAAAATGAGAACAAAATACGCATAGGTACATCGTAGACCTGGGTGTACATAACAATCTCTCAAATTCGGCCATTGCTATCTATCCCTACTTCCAAAACAATAGTGTTAGCTTTTACAATGGATTTTCCCATAACACCTTACATTTAAGTGGAACAATGGATAAGGTTTGGAAAAGAGTTCCTGTGAAAAATATCAGATAGCGAGTTCAGGTGTAATCACAATTCTAATCCACGGTGATGCTATACGAGGTATTTCAGTACAGTGAACACCGGCCATGGAACAGCCAACCATGTTCTTGAATGAATAATGCAGAGCTTAACAACAGAGAGAAAGATCAGTAATAACCTGCATTAAACTTTTTTTCCTAAAAAAGGGATAGATTTTATGTAGCTGCTGAAACATGCTGGTGTCTGCTGCACATTTAATTTATGCAGTGTCTGTATAGAGCAAATCTTTTCTGACACTGTTTGCATTAGCTCTGATGCACAATTTTCTTTTTTTTTTTACTGTGCAGCAACTAGTAGAGGAGGTGAAGTGTATCAGATCAAAAATCCCGAGCTACAACCATGGGACTAGAAACGAACTTATAAACACAATTTTCCAGAAAGAATGCAAGAGATGAACCTGACAATATTACATAGCAAGGCGAATAATGTTATTGTTTTATTACATTACATGAATGGGGTTACAATCCTCAGACAAATCAGCCTCGCTAAAATAACTCTGCTATTGATGAGAAGGCAACATTAAAAAAACTAGAGCTTCTCGCTAACTAATACAGTAATACACAAAATGAAATATAACTGAGAGAACCAAGGGGTAAAACTGGCTAATCTTACAGAACCATCTCTAAAACCTCAACAAGACGACAACTACATGGGTACGTGCACAGGTTCATTTCAGAAAATGCAGTCAAATTGACCGACAAAAAGAGATCTGAAATGAGGAATACAATATATAAGTTAGGAGGTTAGTGAAGGGTGACCACAGTATGTTAGCTTATTCCATATCATGAAGATAAGTCCCGACTCAAACAGATTCTGCTGCATCATTTCCGATGTGAGCATCACCATTTTCTCTGCTAAGTTTAGACTTTGGAGAAGAAAATGATGCTTGTTTAGAGACAGTTTTATTTGAATGCTGCTCTGAATTGTTTAAATTAAGATACGTGTAGACCGACATGCCCATCAAGGCAGTGATTGCTCCACAAATACTGGTTATTCCAGGATTTGACCCAAAAAGAAGGTACCCTCCTATGAGTATAACACATGTCTTGAATTGGCCTAGAACAACATGGGTAATAGCAGAAGTTGCCCTGCACACATTTGATTGGAAAGAAAAATAAAATTAGGCTTAACTTTCAGCTTTCACAAAACAGGTAAAAGTACAATGCAATGGATGCTCTGGATCTTGACGGATTGTATGTACACACTACGACACAAATATTACTTTGAAGGGGGGAGGTGGAGAAGGGGGGGGGGGGGGGAAGGGGGTGAAGAGGCCATAAACCACTTGTATAAGACTATATGTTATTGGAGATGCTCCGTAGCAGGTCATTAGATATAAGAAAATAGTTTAGACAACAGCATCAAAATTTGCTAGAATTTTACATGGGATATTTCATATGTAAACTGCCGAAATATGAAAAGGATTGTTATCCTTCGCTAGAATTTTACATGGGATATTTCATATGTAAACTGCCGAAATATGAAAAGGATTGTTATCCTTCTTTCTCCCTCAATTGAGACCTAATTTGGAAAAAAAATAGAGTACAAAAGATCTCAAATACTTACCCAAGCGCAAGTGCTCCGGACCACTGGAGCAAGAATCCAAGAAGTGCAGACATTAAAATTATAGATGTGTTTCCGAAATCCCATTTAAAAGAAAGGATACCCGGTGGATCTAGCCAAGGCATCATCACTACCAAGAAGAACACTGTAATTGGTGTTGTCTTCCACATTAAACTGCCCAAATAAAAGCCTTCATAAGGAATAAATATGACAGCATCTGACAATTATGAAACAAAGAATTTAACTGAGAATTGAAGTCAAATGAACAGAACATACGCCAATGCAGTCCAATTCTCCCGCTGCTGCATACTGGACCACATGATCTTATTCACAGCACTAGGAACTATCCAAGCTAAGGCTATACAAGCACCGAATAAGTGGAACTGTACATCAGTTACAGTAGCAACAGCAACACCAGCGGACACTACAGTAAGAGCAAGAGCCTGAAAAAGATTCTCCCATCAGAAAAACAACTCACAAAAACAGGAAGAAAACAAGCACACTCAAGAGACTACTGAAAGTTGACAGCATACTGGACAGAATTTTTTCATGATACCATGTGTCCAGAGAAACTCAACATTATAACGTAATGTAAAATGTGTACAACTATTCATACAAATTCTCATAAATTAAAGCAGTGTTAATAAGATAGGAAATTAGACATTGAATATCAATAATATAATAAACTCTCCATTTTACATAAATTAAAAACAGATAGAGAATTGTGAGGTTTCATGCTTAAGGTTCACATCTACCAGAAATTGATGCCCCAACCCAAGGCCCAACACTCCCAAGTTAACATTCTACTTTTACCCATTTTTCACCTAGCCTCTTATCCCTTAATCTCCATGTCCTAACTCTGTTAACCTTGGCTTGGAACAGAGGGGATATTTCTTATCCTTTTTCCTTCCGATATGGTATATAATACCCCTATGACAGCAACTGCAGAAAACAGCAAACAATTATGAATGTGAACTGTTGTCCTATTTTGGTATAATATACTTCTTTTTTTTTTTTTTTTGCAACACTTAGACTTATATAATCCACTTTGACTAGCTTTAATGATTTACTAGATTAAAATACCGTGCAATGAACGGTTGTTAAATATTTTTGACAATAATATTACAAAATATAAAGTATATAAAAGATATTTAGAAATATTTCATTTGGATATATATGGAATATGATTGTCAAACTAGTATTTTTCACAAGGTAATGACATGTGTTATGGAAGGATTTGCTTTTAGTATAGTTAATAGATAGCTAAGGAAAGATATATTCATGTGGAATCTTGTGATTATTTATCTCAATTTAACTTTTATTATATTAAATTTGTATAATTTTAACATATTGGTAATTAAGGATATTAACATTAGTGTTTGAAATATTGCATTCGCAAGTGTAAAATGAGAAGAGTTGCAAGTAAAAAAAAACAAAGGTCATATCTAAAGATAACTTAAAAAGCTATAAAACATTCTAGATCCAAAAACTACTTTGAATTCAATCCAATATACATATTTCAGTAGCAATCAGTTCTTAAAGATGAATTATAAGATCAACATACCTCTTACTCCCTCCGTTTTTAAATACTTGCTCCATTTCTCCATGCGCGGAGTTTTAGGAGAAATTAGAGAAAGTAATAAAATATAGAGGTAGTGGGGTTGGTGGAAGAATAAAAAATTATTAGAAAGCAAAAATAGTGGAGAGAATTGGAGGAGAGAGAATATATGTTGGGACCACTAGGTGAGAGAAATTGATTAAATATTGTAAAAGCTTTCCAAATAAGGAAACAGAGCAAATATTTAAAAACGGCCGCAAATGGAAAGTGGAGCAAGTATTTAGAAACGGAGGGAGTAATCAAGTTCAACCAAACTAAATTATATGGCACTACCGCACTAGACACCAGTTCTTCACTGATATTGACATCACAATTATGATGAAAAATGATTGATAAACAATAGATGATTTTGCAATTGGACAAATAAAAATGATAGTTAAACAATAACCAAATTTACACAACCACTAAACAATACACTCTTCAATCTATAACTATTACTATAGTAACAACCGCTGAAATCATGTCAAGCTGTGGTAGAAAATTTTCCCGTGTAAAATATATATGTGATGTCAGGGTCGTCTCCGACAATTTAGTGGCCCTGTTCTAACTATTAAAATTGGGCCCTTTAATTTTTAGAGGACTATTTTAAAAGGTTAAAAATATTATTATTATAAAATGACATTTTTTTTAAGTACAGTACTACAAATTATTATAGAGCTAAAATATTCATATTACTAAGTTTAATAGTAATTGAATAAAACAACAAACAAAAACTTTTAATTTAAAAAGTATCATCCTTCTAATATTTTTTGAAGCAAAATCCTCAATTATATTTTCATAATCAATTTAATTTTGTTTTAGAAATTAAAAAGCAAAGTCAAAGATTTAAGATGAATTTTTAGGTTTTAATTTAGAAACGGTGGTCTTTTACGCGGAAGAGGGTGAATATGTAAGGTTATGATTTTTTATTTTTTTTTTAATTGCGGGCCCTGATTTTCGGGGCCCTGTTACGTGTGTGATAAAAAACATGTCTAAAGACGGGCTTGTGTGATGTCATCACTTTATTTTATATTTTTTTAGTTAAATTTTTTTGTCATCTATTTCAATATTCATTTTTTTCTAATTTGAAAATTTAGTTGATTAAGTAATATCCAAATTTAGTCCAATAACTTTGTAAGTGTGACAATATAACAGATTAAGTTGTCAAAATCGTGCATCGCATGAGATTGATCTAGTGCTTCTACCCCTGTTTGTTTTTTGTCCTACTCACTTTCCATTTTAGTCTGTTCTTTTTAGTTCTAATCAAATTGTTTTATTCTATTATAGGCTTACCATCTTACTCATTCTATACCACAATAATTACACCTTTCCACAGACTCTCCATTACATTATTCACCTTTATCTTACACTCACCTGCCTAGACCCAATATTACCTTCTCTCTTACTTTATCTTAGTCACACTCACAATATTCAATATTTCTTAATTTGCGTATCAACAATAATTAACTGAGTTAAACATTGAAGAATGGAGGGAGCATTTCATAAATATAGAAGGAAAAAAGAATGAAGTAATGCCAATAGCATCCAAGGAAAATTTCTAACATAAAGGACAATTTCTGAGTTCTTGATGCAAAGCACATTATATTATCTGATAAATAAGATATCGAAGCATGCATAAGACAGCTTAAGATGGGAAAACAAGAGAAATTGAAGTTGAAAGTCAGCAGAGGAGGGGCTGCAAATTGGTTAGTGGCTAGAGAATAACAAACAACATATTGGTGAGTGGCTAGAGGAAAGAAGGTTAAGTAAGCTAGTAGAGGCTCATCAATCAGACCACCTTCCAAGTGGATTCCTATCGATATTCGTTAAGAAAATGAGAGGTCTTTAGCTTAACTCTCAAGATGGCACAGCAATGAGATTCAGCAATTAAATTGAAATAAGCAAGATGAACCAATGCTGAACTGCGTACGCTGGTCTCAATTTCAGCTCAATAAGGCACTGGTTGTAAACTAGATACAGACATTTGCTCTTAATGCGCAGTGATCTCAAGATAAAATTAAGCAAAAAAAAACATGATTAGCTCCTTGATTAACTCCATGTTTATAGCATTGTATATATTCTCCCTTTATACTCTCCCCAACCTCAGCCGCTAATATTTTGTTACCTAATTAGCTTTATACTACCAACATTGTAACAGTATACATTAGTAGCATTATTATCAGTAATACATTATCAATTTTTCCTATTCTCTATAAAACAACCCAAATATATCAGCACAAAAATACAAGGCAAATTGCTATCCAGTCTTTTTAAGAAATAAATAGTGGCAAAGTGAGCTGGGAATCCTTTCATGTTCACGGATAGAGAAGAATCTAAGAAATATTTGGATTTGCAATATCTATTCCAAAGTTTTGAGACTTAAAGAACTTTCACAAACAAGTTGATCGGAAAGCCACCCCTCTGCAATCTATTCTAGAACATTACAGCTTCCAACTAATCCAAAAATATAAAGGAAGGATATTCAAAACTCTTATGGGCAATCAATGTACTATGTAACAACTGTTAGAATAACTTCAGAAATCAGAAGCCTAAATATTACAAAATCATATCTAAAATTATCTTAACTTCTTAAGTTGCAAAAGAAAACTTTCTCAGTGGAAGGATGCCTTTCATACTCTACAACTACCTAAATTGTAAATATTATTCAAGGGTCATTGATGAAAAAGAATAAGTGATTACCTTTTGAAAAGAGACCTTTTTCCGCAACAGAATGAACTCTGCAACCACTATCGAAGGGGTCACAGCGATCTTTGCCATCTGATAAAATCCAACACTAAAAGTACAGAAGTTAGAAGGAACATAGGAAGCAGGTAAATAGGTATGGGTTATCCGATAAAAATTTATGTGACTCACCTATTATACTTCAAACTGACATTAGCAAGACCAGTAGAGAGTGACATTACTACACCAAGAGCGAACAAAGAAGATAAACGAGAAGCTTTTGCGGGAGGCGCAGGGAGCATAGATAGAGCATTCAGAATAGCCATTAAAAACCAGCTTACTACATAGTGAATGAATGTAAGAAATATTGGATAATTGAAGCCGACCTTCCCAAGAACCTGTGTAATCCGAATAGCAAAAGATGAAAGATGCAATCAATAAAATGACTAACCAAATATTGCTTAATTAACAAAATGTAAGAGAATATGCCGCGGGAATACCAGCTTGTTCATCAAAATTATACCAACAGACACCAAAAAGTTGAAAGTGAGTGCCACCATTGGCCCACATAGGCGTTGCTGATAGCGCCTCGCACCTTCAGAAGAACGCAACTCATTGAACAAAGAAGACCTTAAATCTTCTAGTGCTTTGCCTAGTAAGGCACAAACAAAGAAGGTAAGTGCACTGTCAGTAAGCCACAAAAACAAAAATAAGAATGTTGTAACAGAGGTAGAAGCAATAGTCAAGGAGCTAGAATGCAATCTAGCCAGTTTACAGTGCAGCAAAAGGGAGTAAGCTGAATGAGGAATGATTTGTTTCTAATTAACAAAGAACAAAATTCTCACTGGTCTAATAGCAATTTTCCACAGAATACATGCACAAACAATCAACTTCATCATAAAATGTGATTATAGTCATTGATAACAGCTTAAATGTAAAGGTGAAACCATGCATTTAATAAAGAAAAACAGATGTTTTACGCAACAAAACTTCAGTAATCAGTACTTGTTTAAAACACAGAAACCCATATAAAACGTCACAATTATATCTTAAAAATAAACTTTTAAATAATTCCAGAAAGTGTCGGAACAAAAAAAAATATCAGGGTGAATACGGAGACAGGTAGTGCAAAGTATCTAAGCTAATTGCTTTCTGATAAGAGAGTCAATCTTTTGTAATGTAAGTAGATTATCCAATGTACTATACCATTAACACCCCAAGGAGGTACTCGTTAGTTGTTGTTCCCCTTCCAAGGTTCTTATGCGGATCATGCCTTCTGCTCATTGCTTACCCTGAGCTACCCAAATAACATTTCCTACTGCAGTTTAGGCAACAAATGCTAACCTCTGGATCAACAAGTTCCAGTAAAAATTGGTTAAAAAAAAGCCCTTTTTCAATAACTAATGCTATGATAAGGAGTATGTAATTGGTGCAAATCCATTATGGGCTTTTATTGTTCAAATATAATGATGTTATAACAGCTGTTCTTCACCTAGCCATGTTTGGATTCAACAATCGTTATAGCTTACTAGCTCATCATATGTGCATTTGAGGCTCCCTTATCGTGAGTCGTGACTCAAAGCAACAGCGTGTTTGAGCCGAAGATTTGACAACAATGGAAGCATTTAGCCAAAAAGGTAATGCTCCTTATTTTGATCCCTTAGATCATCTTACACATCATGCTAGGAAAATCCATAAGAATGACTCTCTACATTATGTAATCATGAACATAATCGAGAATCAGCACAAATAAACATGAAACTCCACTACTGATATTGATTAATACGAAGAACACTATTTGCAATCTTCCATTAATTATACCCTAAGCATAATTAAAGCAATCAAGCCAATCACCAAAACACAATGTTTCACTTTATATCCTTCACTCTTTTTTAAATATAGCAATGATATATGACAATGACTCAAAAAAGATTCAAACTTTGATACTAATTCAATACTTTCCAAAAATCATAACCAACAGATCCATTGATTAAAAACTTACTTAATTACATTCAAATCAAAACTCAATCTTCCAATCACATTCAACAAAATGCACCAACATTATTCAAATTAATTTTCCACTAACAAAACCACAAATATTAACCCTTTCCAATCAAATGCAACCAAATGCACCAATATCAATCAAATTTTTTTACCCATTTAAACTATTAATCAAATGTATAACCAACTCAAATATTAGCCTTTCCCATCAAATTCAAATGCACCAATATCAATCAAATTTATCACCCAACAAATAATAACCCAATAGCATTAATTAATCAACAAATAAAAATATACCTTTTTCACCGGCATCACTATCTTTACGCTTGAGAATCTTCCTCACATTCTTACTAACAAACAAATTAAACATCTTCCTGCTACAAAGCATCCCCCTTTCTCAAAAACCCACCAATAAAGTTTCAATCTTTTGCTCAAAACCCTTCAAAAAATCAACATAAAACCAACCCCAAATTAGAAACACTTTGAAAAAATTTGAAAGAAAAGAATTTGAATTGGAGGTGGGAAAGTAAGCAAATAGAGAAGAATGAGAGCAGAGGAGAGAGAGAGTGGAAGAGAAGGGGACACGAGTCTCACAGAACAACAGAGAAAGAAGACAACAAAATAAGGTTTTTGTCTGAAAGAACAAACAACAAAGTGAAGAAAGTGGGGTCATGATTCTTGTTCAGCGTAAGGGGCGGATAGATTGAGGAAACTGTGAGTGAGTGATTGGCATTGCAGTGCTAAGTGCTTGTATTGTACACAAACAAACTTGTCCAAATTTATTTTATCATTAAGGTGATTGTGAATTGTAAGTTACACCCACCGACAGTAGGGACTCTTGGAGAAAGATTTGCCTGTGGGGTTGTTAACTTGTTATGTTATGCTGTTTATCGGCTTTTATGGTTAAACTTTAAAAACTTTTATAGTACGAGTGATCTTGAATGCTTGTAAGTAATTTTAAGAGGAAATTGATTCAAGTTGGATCTTAGTAACTCAAAATGTATTTTAAAAATATTTTACTGGTTTATAATTACGTAAAAGCTAACGAATACCTTGGAGGTGTTGGATAATTTAGCTAAAAGTAGAAAGATTAAATTAAAATGAGCATTAATTGCTCTAATTGACGTATGATTTTGTCATGCTTTCCCAAATTTATACCACTTTTGCTAGTATTTTAAATGCTTATCCAACTTCTAGCAAGATCCTTATAACTATAATTAAAGGTGTACAAAGTCAAAATAATGCATTGGATATTATATTATATAAATGCAGAATTTACTTAGGTGTTGTTTGGTTGATGTGGGTATTTAATTCCCATAGGAATTTATACTTCATGGGAATTTAATTCCTTAATAAAATTCCTAGGAATTTCTAAAGTGTGTTTGGTTGGTAATGAGGAAAATTGAAATTCCCATGAATTGTAGTTTACTAGGGGGGGGGCTAGGTAATTTACTTCCCATGTTTTGAGGGAAGTTGAAATTCCCATGAATTCTCACTTCCCTCATTTTTGCTTTTTTAGATCAACCAAACAACTATCCACTTTATCAATTCCCATGAATTTTCAATACCCTTGATGAGTCTATTTTATATATATTTTTATTCCCCGTCCCACGGTCATATTTGTGCTAATTTGAGCTCTGTGGAGCTTTTTTTATTACTAATATACGTTTTCTAGTGTTTTTGTAGAGTGGATATTATTTTGTAGGAATTTGAAGAATTGTGACAATTCCCGAGCTTATTGAGCCACTGCAAAGACATTGGAGTCGGATCGTATTTTATGACCGAATATTTAAAGCTCAAGATCGTACTAAATAAAATTAGTTCGGTGATTAAGAACTTGATTAGAGAAGAGAAGGGTCCCAAGTTCTCACAAGCAACACGGACCAAACTAATAAATATCTTGAACTCAAGTCAAGAAGGCCCAAGTACAAAGCCCAACTCGCTGCTAGCTGATCCAGCCCATTCAGGCGCTCCACTGATGTTTTCTCATTAGTGGGCTTCTTTAATAGTTAAGTCGGTGGGTCTTTTGTATATAAATAGTAGTAGTATGCGATCAGGGAGTTAGTCAGCTTTATTTTTTTTGTTTTTAGTCTTAGTTAGATTTCGGTAATTGCACGTCAGTTAGGAACTTCTTAGACTTTGTTCGCTTTTCGTCAAATTCGTTTTTTATGCAAGAGTATTAGTTCACTTCTTTTAGTGGATTATATGGTTGTTTTCTTTAAGTTCTCTTATGATTATTTTCTTAATCTGATATTATTGTTTCTTATATGCTTACTTTAATCGTTTTATTTAATTGTTTTATTAATTGCCTATTAATTTTAATTATGTTTACTTTAATTAGTTTAGTTTTAATTACGCGTGAGTAGTTTTCTTTCTAGGGTTTGTGGGCATCCATAAATAATATGAAGGGGTAATTTATTATTATTGATTGTCAATGCTAGATTAATTTCCTATTGATTGATTTAATACTATGCAATTAGATTAGCGCTGGTTTAATTGTATGAGTTACGCAATATTGATTCGAGATTCGAGAGATGAGAATTAATATTAAGGCCTAGTTTCAATAGGCAGTTTAATTTATAAATGGTTAAATCGAGATTCGAGAGATGAGATTTAATATCGGTAAATTAATTCTGTGATTGTAATACGTAGCGAAAGCCCTTTATGATCTGATTAATTGATACATTGATGATTGATTTATATGTTTTACCCTGGAGTATTATTTATTGGTGAATCTATGCCCTAGGTCCTTTATTCATTGATTTTCCCCTACTTTTATTTCTCCCTACTCATATTCTTCGTAGTATAATTCCTTTAAACAACAACAATTGGTTACTTTAATAATTTAGATTATAATTAATTAATTAGGAATAGAAAGACCAGTTTCCCTGTGGATTCGACCCTACTTCCCTATCTACTTTAGTTAGAGGACTTAGGTAATTACTTTTGATTAGGTGACTACGACTTTAGCCTGTCAACCCTCATTTTATAATGTCAACCAAACAAGCCCTTAAATGTGTTAAAGACAATATTACCCCTTTTATAATTTCTATTATCCCACCCTAATTTCATTCTTAAAATATATAACTCATTTCCTTCATTTTTCTATGGAAAGTATGGTTTGAATCAAAGAAAGAACGCTTATATACTTGTTGATGAAAGAAAACTTCTATCATTTTTCTTCTACACCACCTATTCCCCATTGATCCAACTGTTCTCAATCCCTCTTGATAAAATAACAATAATAATTTAAGCCCTAAAGAAATCTAACACCCTTTCCCCCTGAAGTAATATCAACCCCCGGAAATTAATTCCAGTACCCTTCATCAACCCTCGGAAATTTATTCCGGTACCTTTCATCACCCCCCCCCCCCGAAAAATATTCTGATACCCTATATTATCCCACGGAAAGTTAACCCGGTAGTAATGCTCATGGCCCTGATATTAAATTCAGCTAAAAATTTCTGGAAATTTATACCATGAATTGATCTTTAGCCCGAACAATAGTTCGAGTAGGTGTGCATGCTGAAAATTTATTTGTTTGATTATGTTTGCAGATTGAATGTTATGGGTGATTGTATATATTTTTCGTTGATATGTTAAGGCTGATTAGTTTTTTTTTTTTTTTTTTTTTTTTTTTTTTTTTTTTTTTTTTTTTTTTTTTGGTGAATGAGGGTGATTAGTTGATTCCATAATTAGGAGTGAAAATGATTTAGATTAAAACAGGTTAAAATTGGAATATAAGTTTTAAATATTTTAAAAATTATTCTGCATTTAGGCAAATTGTTACCTAGTAAAAATATTCAGGTAGTTATGGGCTTATGGTTTCCTTCCGAATTTTCAGAGATTATGGGATCAATTTTCATTACTCGTCCTTATAGCTCTCTAAACACCAAAACAAAAAAAATGAAGGTGTTGCCACCTCTTTGTTGGATCTGAAGGATGTGAAATAGAAAAATAAAATACAAAAGTTGGGTACCCAAATTTGATGTTGGGTAAGATTTATCGACTTTTCTAACTATAATTTGGTTTAATTGGTTTTCATTTTTTATATTAACTAGCTGTAACAATTTTAATTTCATATATTTCAAATCAAATCCAACATTAGAATTAATTATTAGGTACATATAAGAAGCGGAGAACACCATATTTATATAAGAATGGTTAATGATATATGATAGGTTTCATCAAAGTGGAGTGCTAATTTTAAGAAGCTACATAATGAAAGGTAAAGCTTTGAATTTGAGGCATAGAAATATGTATTTTACATGAGATGTTAGCCATGTTACCTATACAATCAAGGGAAAAATTAGTCACTGTTAGGAGAGGAGTTTACTTTACTTGATCAAAAAGGATCTTGTTATTCTATCAAGTGACAAATAATTTTGATAGAGAGCAAATACTAGATACTTCATATTTAATAGTTGTAACACCTTAACCTAATTTCTATGATAAGCATAATTTAAATCTTTTACAAGGACTTTATGTATGCAGTTATGTAGATATCATCATATCATACATCCATACCAGGTAACAATAATGATTCTTTTTATTTTCAATGTACTACTATATATACTCGATATTGATCAGCAAATTTTGAGGACAAAATTGCATGAGCAACTTCCTTCATTCGAAGAAGAATTTGATAATTAATTTCAAATCAGATTGAAAAGATGATGTCTCATAATATGGGACTAATGTTGAATGTCATTTAGGGTAACATACAAATTTTTAGTAAAACAAATATGAGGCAACCCAGGTTAATAACCGTGCTAAACTTGGGCCGTTTATAACAGGGCATTTTTGTCCATTCAGCTTCAAAAGTAAGGGTTAAAATGTCCAAGGCAAAATTGATACTTAAGTGCTGTTATGTTTGACGTTACCTTGTCTTGCTTAACCATGGTTACTTGCTGTTACACCAACCAAACAACCCCGACTTTAATTACGCGACACGTGTCTTTGTCTTCTTCAACGTGACTAGTGCTTTTTCACTCCCTCACTCCCATTATTTTCCTGTTCTTCTACCGAGCCAAAACTTGAATCCTACTGCATGTAATTAATCGGATTAAAATTTGCATTTCTCATTTACTGGTTGAGTTGCGAATCTCTTGGATTTTGTGTCGTATGCTGTTGTTCGTCGATCTGGGATATTGCGATGGAATTCTGTAAATCCATAGGTACGTGTTTGTGTTGCTGGTTATCTTCAATACAATATGTAATTGCCGATAAAGTAAGTGTAATTTTTATTTACTCCAATTTGTTTGCGTTTTCAATTTGAATGTACCTATAATTTGCATATGAGAGAGATGAAAATTAAGGGTTTTATAGTTGTTTGCTCCTGGGTATATTCAATACAATACGTAATTGCCGATAAAGTATGTGTAATTTCTAATTTACTCCACTTTGTTTGCGTTTTCAATTTGAATTGGCTTACGATTTGCATATGAGACGGAAATTAGGGGTTTTATTACTGTTTGGTGCTTGGTATATTCAATACAATGCGTAATTGCGGTTAAAGTATGTGTAATTTATGATTTACTCCAATTTGTCTGTGTTTTCTATTTGAATTGGGTTTTTGAAATGAAAATTGGTTAGCTGTTTAGTGAAGAGTGTTGTATTTCATGTAAATGTAGGCAAAACATTGCGGAATAAATGTCAAAGAGGAAATTGGAGCTAAAGGTATGATTTCTAATCTACTTTATGTTTGTATCTTGTAATTCATGTGGTGATGAACAAATGGGTACTGATTGAGCCGCTGTCGCTGATTAAGCCGCTGTCAGGTCGAAAAGGAAATTGGGAGAGAAGGTATGATATTTTCATACAAGTTCAGATACTTATGTTCGTAATTGAATGATTGACATTGGTTGCATTGTTACAAAATGGAAACAGGATATAGTGTGGGGGGTCAAGTGAATAAAAAACAGAAGCACTGTGTAGGCGTCGCTCTAAGTGCGCCTACGTTAAAGCATGTGGTGAATATGCTTGGCACTCATAGGAAGTGGGAATTGACATAATACGATTAGGGACAAGGAAAGTAGGGAGCCGCCAACAAGTTTTTAAGGAACTTGTAAACCGTTCACGGATCATAAAAGGCAACCACGATTAAGGGACAACGATAGGCAACAACGATTGACCTGTGAAGGCTACACCCCATTCATAATCCATGAGATTACTAACTCCATATGGTTTGGAACCACGAAAGGAGGATCGGGGATGATGGTACGAAGTGAATCATGGAGTCACATTTGCCCGTATTGGCCTCTACTCGATTCTTATAGTGAAAAGTGATTCCTGCGATCTCAAAGGCATGCAAACAAAGATTCAATTTGCTCCAAACTATTATTATGCTAAATTGGTTTAATATTAATGCAACATATAATTCTAAAATATTTGTGATCACTTGATTAAACAACAAGATTAAAAAGGATTCTAAACCGGTTGTCCAAATTATCTTATTAAGCGTGATTTTCAATTACATATTCCCTTTAAACATGATACAAATATAATTATCATTAAAAAAATATAATTATCATTAATATTGGAAGCAAATCAACAATAATAGTGTTAGTCAAATCAAATATAAATAAATCTAATCATGATACTAGCAATATAAAAATAAAATAAGAGTAATTAAATTAATTAATTACTCACATTCTGCGCTTTCCTTTAAATTGCTACATCATGAATAAACTGTTAGTAACTTCAATAAAAATATAAAGTAAATGGAAATTAAATTAAATTAAAAGTAGAGTTGATTTGGTCCAAACCCTCAGTTATTTGTACCTTTCACGCCTTGGTTTAAGGACGGAACCTCGGGTTAAGTATAGACTCCTTGGAGTGCTTAGGGGAATTACATGGAAGAATAAGGAGGCTAGAAATTAGGTTAAAGAGGGAGAAGAGAATGATTTTTGGTGTAAGGTGCGAGAGAATGATTATTGGTGTAATTAGAAACATAGATTTAAGGCTTAGAATACGAGAGAGAGAAAGAAGAGAATGATTTGATGATCAAGATTGTTGATGATTGAAAAAGGGTGATATGACCTCTATTTACAAAGAAAAAATAAGGCCGAAGAATCAAGAAAAAGATAAGAATTCGAATCGGATAAAACTCTTGCTAAGCTATAGACAGCATTTTTTGCGGGTTTTGTTTTTATCATATCTTTTGATCCAGAAATCGGAATAAGATAAATAAGATATCGTTGGAAAGATCTTGAAGTATAATTTCTAACCCAATTAGAAGAAGTTAAAATATTTTGTAGAATAAAAGATATGGCAGAAATAGTGGGACAATGTCAGTTTTGGATAGAGTTTTTTTTTTATTTAATTCATATCTTTTTCGTTATAGCTCGGATTAGATATTATAATATATCATTGGAAATATAATTTCAAGGGATATCCAACCATATAAATTTTGGATAAAAAATATGAGGCACAAAAATAATATCTGTCTATCTTTCAACATCTTTCAATTTGGATAGAAATAGGACTTTAAAAAAAAGGAGTTTTATTCAATTTCAAACTCTTTAATTTTATCTTTTCAAAAAGGATAATTAAGATCTTTTAGAAACTTATAGAAGTTTCTAATTAATCCTAATTGGTTTATGAATGGAATTAAATAATTTGGACCCTCCTCATGATCATTTGGTCGTAGGTAAGGTAGGCATAGGTTTGGTTTGGGCTCAGTTTAATATTTTGGTCATAACTTATTCGTTATAACTCGGATTTGGGCTTATAATATATCGTTGGAAAGCTCTTTTAAAGCCCCATCCAACTATTAAATCATTGGACCCAGATTATGGACCAAAATAAACTGGATTAAACGTTACAATGTCCCCTGCTTATGTTCAGATACATTCTAACAGCAAAATCCATATGAAATCATAGCAAAAGAAACCAACAATTCACATCTACAATAAAGCACCAAACAGTTCCTTTAATGAATCAAACTGACAAACTGTATCTGCATGATGTTTACATTAAGAATCTAGAAAAAGAACGAACATCAAAGTCACAAACACAATGAAACTTTTACAATAGTCTCTAAGGTCACATAACTCGGACATTCCGAGGAATGGAAGCAGTACAACAATTGTCCTGGCCTAATATCACAACAAAAGAAATCAAACAATGTTCTAAGAAATGTTTATTACAGTACTCTCTAATTGGTTTATTCTGAAAATTTCAAGTGGCTAACAGCTTGTAAGTTGATAGAAGTCATGCTTATGTACCTGTTAATCGCCTTTGGATTTTTTTAGAGGATTCACTAAGCTCTCGACATAAGTATCTGCATAACGTATTCGATTATCAACAATCCTTCCACAATTCTCCATCTGCTGGCTTTTAATGCTATAAGACATCAGATTCGATTCACGAAAATCCAAACGCAGAGCGAACAATTTACCAGACTGTTCATCATAAATAACCCTTGCACCTATTTCAAAATTCTTCAGTTCATTGAAGGTACATGCATCCAAACTCGAATTTTTGGTATCGGACAGTTGCCATCGGTTTTGGGGCACGCGCTCCCCATCATCCTCTCTCATTATCCATACGTCGGTTCTCTTCCAAAACACTGCTAAACATTTGCCAAAAATAAACAGAAATTTCTTCATTCGCCGGCTCTCAGCAGGCAATTCAACACATCGAAATTCCTCTCTTCCAAAATCAAAGGAAAGAACATGGGTGTTTTCGAACAGGTCATCTACATCTCTCACCAACCAATGCGCAGCCCCTTGACAGAAATGAGGCTGATGCAAATCACGCAATAGTATATCCCGATACATAATTGCATCATTCATCTGAACATTCTTGGTCTTCCAACAACGATCATTACATGAATAAACCTTGATCTCTGACGACAATTCGTCTAATTTGGAAGACTTTACTCTAAATCCAATCACCTTGTAATCTTTAGTGGAAGAATTAAACCCCAAAACAAACATGTCAATGGGTAAGACAGGCAGCGGACAAGGAGGAAGATCCAAAGATTTATTAACATAGGGGTTATATAACCTCAAATTTGGAATCAATGTAGGTTTATAATCATTATCTTGGAGCAAAAACAAACCATTTAAGGTTTCCCAAACCCTGCAATCTTTACCTATAGTAGTAATTTGGGCAATTTCTTCAAGCCTGAAGTTAACAACTCTGATTACTTGATCAGTCCATCCCAGGTGTCCAATTCTCTTTCAATTAGTACTAAGCGATTCTTGTAAGAATTCTCGTTGAAATGTTGAAAGTGTTCTGTAATGAAAGCAGGGGAATCGATTATTGTACGCCAAGATTTGCAGACGCCTCGTAATCGAAGAAGTGTATTCACCGGCAGCTTCTGAAATACTACCTTCCATATGTCTTCCGGCAACGCGTCACCGGGTTGGGTTTTCATTTTCTTGGTTTGCATTATAACGAGGGAGTTGGAAGAAAAGGGTCGTTGTGAAGAGAAAGAAGATGAGAGATTTGCTTGAGTTTTGGAGTGTTTGTGTAATCTAATTAAGAGATTAATGTAAATGAGTAAATGATTTGTAGGGTTTTTATGAGAGAAGCTCCAAATGTTAAGGGGCGGGAAAACTAACTACCAACTAACTGAAACAAAATTAACTAACGTTATCCCAAAAAAAAAATAAAAATAAAAAAAAAAGCACTCATAAAATTAATTAACCCATTCACTGTAAGGAGAGGTAGTGCTCCCTAGTTTATTGGAACGAAATCATCTTTGTGTTGTTTGAAGACTCATATAATCTAACTCGACTTAGAATTGATTCAAAAATCAAATAATATATTGTGTCTTGAAGATAAAATTGGAAAAGATTCTAGAAAATGACTGAAATCGAAGAATCTGAAACTAAATTGGTCAAATCCAACTCAAAATTGACCGGACTTTTTGAGTTACAAAATTATAAATTGACGTTTCAAAAATTCCCACAATATTATCTTGTAAAAATGGTAAGTAGAGGTAAAAAAAAGAGTAGTATTCTGACAGGTCATCAAATGATAGATTGTTCAAAATCATGGTTGTTCAATAAAATTAACTAAAGGATCATATGATAGAAAAAAGATAGATTGCACCACTTGAGCATAATACAGGTGAGAAGAAGATGAATACATAACAAGGCTTTCCTCAAGGGCTGGGTTTTCGCGTGTCTGGAGTATGATAAGGTTAACCAACACAATAGCATAGGACAGTACATAAAAGAAATGATGCAGTCCTGGTCAATAGCCCGCAAAGGTCAATAATCTAGTGCATGCAGGTAATGAAAACTAACTACAGGAACATTTTTATGTAATATGGAAACAGTGAGTGAGTTAAAATTGAAGCGGGTAATAGAGTTCTGACATTAAAAGGATTAAAAAAAAAGAAAAAACATGCTCCTCATATTAAATGAAGAGCATGACATGTCTGAGACATCTTTGATGAAATTGTTGCATCAAGAGAAACAAATTACAGATCTGTACATCAATCCTCTATCCTCAGCTTGAGACGTTGCTTTAGTGAATGACAACAAAAGTGGCAGCCTATTTACAAAACAAATATAGCACAATATCAGCAGGCATCACTTTGTCATAGCAGATAAAAGAGAATCACTTCTTATAACGAAATATTCACTTTGCTGTAGATCTCCTACTATGCTCTTTGGTTCTGCATCTTAAACTTTACTCTTTGTACATTTGATTTTCCCAAATATGCTCTAAATTAGTTAACATAAATGATGGCTAGTCATTCTGTTAACATATTTCAAAGATACAATCTCGCCTAAACTAGTAACACTTAAATCTTGTAGTCAGAAATACATTAAAAAAAAAAAAAAAAAAGTACCCCTGATTTCGAGAAAAACAAATCTTGGAAAATATTTCAAGACTAGTGTCTTGTCAAGTTGTCGCAGCTTAATTTGCTTGGTTTAATGGTTTACCATACATTATAGTAAGTTAATGATGGATGCCATAGTCAAGATACACTGTCCCCTGCTTATGTCAAGATACATTCTAACAGCAAAAAACGAGACCAATGCTTGGGGACCAGTAAAGATGAACTGTTGAACGAAATCCAGCATACTGCTACTAGCACTACTACTAGCTCATTAGTTTGGACTGATTTTATTCACAGGTATTGCAGGGACTTTTATAGTATGCACTTGAGCAATGAAGCAACCAGCAAGATAGGGCTTTGCTTGGCATATTGCTTAATATATGGCTTTTTTTAATGTTCTGTTAAATATAAATGTTTGAATACCATTAGGATATAGGGTGTTTATGAGAGAAGCCAGTTCAGTTTTTTAATACACCGGTAGCATTTATACATTCATAGGTAACGATATTTGGACAATAATACATTGGTATTGTTATGCACATAACTGAATCGGGAAACTTCTAAACAATATCTGCTGTTGACATTGTACAAACAAGTCTTTATGGAGCATTATGGATGGTCCCTTCTACATCAACTATGGCTTCTGATTACTGCACACTATTAGAACTACTGTGTGGACAGATACCGGTCATACATTTTTATCATAGTCAAGTCATTCAAGACTCCAAACAGATTTTTTTTTACCCTCCATTTTCTAATGTAAACATTTCCACCTCATTGCATTTACTTCATCCCAGGTCTACTTTTTTTGTTAGGGATCGGATGCAGTTTTTGTTTAATTAACCATTTTACTTTAAAAAAAATTTGCGTTTCAGTTATTCTTGCGTGCTGTCCAGTTTGTAAGTCCCTTGCTGGTTGCTTCATTTCTCAAGTGCACACTACATAAGTATATAAGTTCATTAGTTTGGACTGATTTTATTCACAGGTATTGTAAAGTATGAGTATAATATGAGGTTTTGGCAGACATTAAGAATCAGATCCTAGAAGAACTGCAGCACAGTACTATAACAAAATCATTTTGTGGCACTGTTATAGCAGATACCATGCATCGTAGACTAGGCAAAGAAGCATTAATGCAAAAATGAAGATTATTCTGTAATATATCCATATGAAATCATAGCAATAGAAACCAACAGTACATCTATACATAATAAAGCACCAAACATCCCTTTGTCAAAAAAAAAAAAAAAAAAAAAAAAAGCACCAAACATAGCAATGCTAGCTTAGGTGTTTGTTCAAATAATACAAAAGCACACTAACGAATAAGGCTAAATTGTTTCTGCACGCTGTTTACATTATGAAACTCTAACACAAGGCCTAAGATCACATCACACAACATTCCGAGGAATTGAAGCAGTACAAGTCACCAAGCTCTTGACATAAGCATCTGCACAACAAATTTGATAGCCATAATTTCTTCTAATAGTCCTTATCTGTTGGCTAGTAATGTCATAAGACATCAGTCTCATTGGAGAATATCTCCAAGACAGCAAGAAAAATACACCAGAATATTCATCATAAGTAATCCTTGCATTCCTGTTCCTTATGAAGAATTTCAGTGCATATAAACTCGAACCTCCTTTAAAGCACCGTACCCATGGTTTCTCAGGCACAACCACTCCAACATCTTCTCTCATAATCCACATTTTGCTACTCTCAGCAGAAATAACAATTTCTTGATTTTTTTTTGTGGTAAAAGTAAGAAAATCGTTAGAAACGTGTAGCTCAAAAATTAATCATACCAGTAAATAATTAATAAATGCAATAAAGTTCCAAGGCAAATTAATAATTTTGCAAAAATTATTATAAAAAAAACAAAAAAAAGATAAATAGAGTTTAGGAGGGAAAATTCCCTCCAAAATGATCTTTACATGAAGAAATCAAAGCTACGCCTCATATGTCAACTTAACTAGACTATCTGCTAGCTAATTTTTTTGTTGCTAATTGACCTTTCAGAGGGTGTTATACACTTCTATTCTTTTTAAAGCTGTGGAATTTATTTATGTGGAGTTCCCCTCCCTTGATCGAATTTGGAGATGTGACGACTTCAATTAATTACGAGTAATTAATATTTGGCACATTAGTCAAATCAGCAAACCAACTTAACCAAGTGACAATTATATATAGGCCTTCAACTTCTCAACAATAGACTTTACCCTTAATCTCTGCTTAATGCTTTAACGCGCTGATAACAACAACAGTTGCAAAGATCAGCTTGTGGAGTTAAACTCGACAAGAGCACAAGCTAAAGGAGAATAGCTAAATGATTAGGAATTCAGGGCAGAAATACAATGCACCAATTCAAAAGGCATACAATGCACCAAATTCCTACCTGCACCAATAATCGGAAAAAAAATGAAGTGGATCAAAGAGAAAATATCATCATGACTATGTAAATTCAAAAGGCATACAATGCACCAAATTTGTATAAAGGGAGTATACTACGCTTTGATCAATCCTTCTACTTTCTACCTTAACTGTATATAGAAAGAAGATTGGCATACTGATGATTCCAACTTTTCGTTTTTTTTTTTTATTTTATTTTTTTATTTCAAACATCTAAGATGCAATACTGGTTACAGCACTTATACATAGTCAAATACATTATGAACAAGTTCAAACAACTCAATGGTGGGGCTAGCTCTTCTATTCAGGTTCATGGCTGGGTTCTCTTGGTTATATGGTTCATCTGGTGGAGAGATCGAGCTTCAAGAAATAGTAAATGGTTATCATCAAGGAAAAAGCTCTGATCAGCCACAAAAAAATTCCTAATTCTCCCATTTGCAAATTGGATTAGCCATCCTTTATAAGATCCAAAAAATAGTGACTTGCTGGAAACTCAGTCTTTAGTTGATACAGGATGTGGGACGTATAGGCCATTCCAAAGTAGTCTACATTAGTTTCTTTTGCCCTTTCTAAGCGATCAAAATTTTAAGAATTGGTTAATATATTCAAGATAATTAAGTACAGGGTATTTACAAAGTACCGTCTTGATTACATCTTATTTGATCAGATCTGGAAAGAACAATGAAGATAGCAGGGAGTTCAAACTTCACACTACCCAAGCTAGCGCAGCATAAACCTAACCAGAGAAGCTAACTTCACATGAATGATTGATGTATCTACCAAACGACTTAATTCATACCAATGAGCATGAAGTGAAAATTAAATGAACAGGCGGATGAATAGTTATTGAAACACTTCCATGCTCCTCTGGTGCGAAATTACAATAAAGACATGATTTTCAGTATCAGATACTAAGTTTCTGTTGTCTAATCAACCAAATTGATGCAGAGATGATAAGGCTGATAATACGGGGCAGTACAAGATTGATGTGGCTAATATAGGTGACATAAAACTCATGCTGTTTCAATTACAATCCTTTACACAACACCACAACAAAGTAGCACAACCCTTTTGACTATATTTTTACATCAAAGAAGGAACAGGTTTTATTCGAGAACATGTATCAGACCATTAAATACTATAAATTTGTTATAAAATAGAGTTATCAGTTCAGAATTTGCATGAATTTGCTAAAGATTGATATATGTAGCATCATACTGCACCATCAAGAATGGTACATTAATTGACAAGGAGCCGAAATGAAACCAAGAGATCCCTCACTTCATAGGAAACAGAGGAGACTAAACAAATTATTTTACCAAACCAAGATAATAAGGTAAAGAGAAAATGATAAATCTAGCCAAAATAAAGAACACCACTATATATTCTTAGAGTAAGACATGAACCAAAAAAGCTTGGCATCCCGAACCAAAAGATTTCTGATAAATTACTTCGTGTTTAGCCAAGGTGCAAGCGAACACTTCGACGACAAGGAATGAAGTCCTTACTTGAAGAGGAGACATATTGACCACAGAATTTGATCTCACAACCTGAGGGATTATGAAGGCGAAAGAATTTTTCACACAACACATCTTCTTGCCTTGAGACTTTTGCCTTTTTACCTCGTATAGAAACATGAACCGATAGCAATTCCAACACTTTTCCGCAATTCAAAATGTACTTTATCATCTCAAAATCAGCATCACTCTCACTAATATATCTTATCTTGATCCTCTTTAATCGACTCCAGCAAGGGCTGCAACAAGAAGGCCAATGCTCGAGTGCATCCCTTTTTGTTAAGTATCTCGATATTTCTACTTTGAGCACCTCTAAAGAGGGACAGCATTGTAGTAAAAGCACCACATCATTCCAACTCCATCTACAACTAGGTATCTCACAATAATCATAATACATCCCAAGAACAACTTCATTTTCTAAACTACAAACAGCCTCCAAAGCATAGTTATCTATTTTAAGGGATCTTACTTCAGAAATCAACTGCGCAAGTCCTGCTATACGACTCAGGTAATTAATTTTCTTAGGAAATCTAAATTCTGCACTAGAATACCCAACAAAACGAATATTCGCTAAACCAAAAGGAATATGTAATGTCATTTCTTCTAGCTTTGACAGATTAACTACAAGTTGGTAGGTTGGAATAACGTTATAGTCATACGCTCTAATAATAACCAGTTTCTTGATGTAATGAGCCGATAAATCCAACAAATGAACAAACATATAGCAATTACCGTGAGACGTGATCACCAGATTTAAATCTTCCAATATTGGACAACCCCTAATAATTGTAGCCAACGCATCATCCCAATATCCAGATAATTGTAGTTTCTTTAATTTAGGAAGATTTACAACAAATCCACCAGCAGGAGGACGAATAAAAATATTTTTAGTCAACATAAGCACAACTAGAGATTGACATTGAAAAAAACAAGTACTCGTAGATATATTAGTAGGTAGATTCGATTCAACCACAATTTGCTCTGGATTTCGTGTGCATAGATCCCGAATCCAAGATTCCTAAAATCATAAAAATCCCTCGACAAACAGAGATAAAAACTGTTTACTTTCGGAAAGGGAAGCTTCGGAAAAATAATGTTAGGATTAGTGTGGAGATAGATAAATACATGGAGACATAAGGAGATTGCATAGAAGCTGCCTTATTGTTAAGGTTCGACCAAACTTGTGAAAAGTTCGGTCGAACCCGGTTTTAAGTCAGTAGGTGCACCAGTTTTCATTTCTAGAGGAGGAGTGACCAAACCCAAGGAGGTTCGACCGAACCACCCTAGGTTCGACCGAACTCTGGGTAGGTTCGGCCGAACCTCCCTGCTCCCTATTTCGTCGCTTCGTTTTCGGCTTGTGCGATTTGCTTTAATCTTAGCCGTTGGATTGTATTTTCTACCTAGACTATATATACCTTTTCTAAGCCTCTTTGTTGAGTATTCACAAACATTTAAACACATAGAGAGGTTTTGAGAGGGTTTGTGAGGAGCATTTGAATTCTATACAATTCATGCTTGTAATTCTTGAGTTCATTCATCATCAATATTACTCCATAGTGCAAGGGTGGGTTTTTTCTCCCGGTTCTCGGGTTTTCCCACGGTAACATTGTCTTCCTTTTACTTGCTTTAATTCCTTCAAAGTTGTTCTTGATTGTTATGCTTGTTTGTTCATTGCTATTGTGGGTTGATTGCAAGTTAGTTGAACACTTTAATCCTTAAAATTGGTACCAGAGCCAAGGTTGAATCTTTGGTGTTTTGATGATTTAGGGTTTGTGTTAAACTTGAAATTGTGATTGAGTTTCAAAGTTTGGAACTTTAGGTGTTCAAAGTTTGAGTCTTGGGTGTCAAGTTGCATTCTTTGTTGTTGAAAACCTATTGTGAACTTTGTGTGTTTGATTTGCAATGGAAGAAGGCAAGTTGAGAATTGAGAAGTTTGATGGGAAGGATTTTGGGTTTTGGAAGATGCAAATAGAGGACTATTTGTATCAAAAGAACCTATATTTGCCCCTTACTAGTAAACCATCGGGTATGAAGGAAGAGGAGTGGAAAGTATTGGATAGACAAGCCCTTGGAGTGATTAGATTGACATTGGCTAAGAGTGTTGCTTACAATGTCAAAGATGTGACAACGACGGTTGGTGTGATCAAAGCATTGTCCAATATGTATGAGAAGCCATTGGCTATGAACAAGGTGTTCTTGATGCGTCGTTTGTTTGAAATTGAGATGAATGATAGTGGTTCCGCCCCCGAACATATAAATGAATTCAATTCAATAATCTCTCAACTAGCTTCGGTTGAAATTAAGTTTGATGATGAAGTGAGGGCCTTGATCTTGTTGTCATCATTGCCTAGAAGTTGGGATACCGTTGTAGCCGCCATTAGCAACTCTTCCGGAAAGTCGAAGTTGAAGTGTGATGATGTGAGGGACTTAATCTTGAGTGAGAGCTTGAGAAGGAAGAACTCGGGTGAGTCATCGGGTGGTGCTTATTCTAGTGAAGGTAGGGGACGTGGAAGACAACAAAGAGGTGCTCAAAGAGGAAGATCGAAGTCTAGAGGGAGGAGTAAGTCGAAAGGGAAGGTGAACATTGTGTGTTGGGGTTGTGGTGTGAAAGGGCATACTAAGAGGGAATGTCCTAATCCCAAGAAGAAGGGTGGTTCAAACCACAAGAACCACGATGATGCTAGTTCATCGGTTAGCTTGGCATCAAGCGATGAAATCGGTGATGCATTGATCTTGAGTGTTGATAGTCCCATTGAGTCTTGGATCCTTGATTCGGGAGCTTCATTTCATTCTTCTCCATGTAAGGAGATTTTCCAAAACTTCAAGAGTGGCAATTTTGGAAAGGTGTACCTTGCGGATGATGAACCTTTGGATATTGTGGGGAAGGGAGATGTTATGATCAAGACTTCAAGTGGGAGCTCATGGAATCTTGAAGATGTTAGGTACATACCTAAGCTAAGGAAAAATTTGATTTCGGTGGGTCAACTAGACTCAAGAGGTTTTAGAACCATGTTTGGTGAAGGTACTTGGAAGGTGTCAAAGGGAGCTATGGTGGTGGCTCGGGGCACGAAGACCGGCACATTGTACACTACCTTAGGGTGTAAAAGCATGATTGCTACAACCGCAAATGATGAGACTAAGCTTTGGCATACTCGGCTTGGTCACATGAGTGAGAAAGGGATGAAATTGCTAGCTTCAAAAGGTAAGTTGTCGGGGTTGAAATCAATCGACATGAAATTTTGTGAGACATGTGTTTTTGGGAAACAAAAGAAGGTGTCTTTCACAAAAACCAAACGGTCCTTGAAGAAGGAGAAGCTAGAACTTGTGCACACGGATGTTTGGGGCCCATACCCCATCAAGTCCCTTGGTGGTTCTCACTATTTTGTCACTTTCATTGATGATTCAACCCGGAAAGTATGGGTATATTTCATGAAGCACAAGTCGGAAGTGAATGAGAAGTTCAAGACTTGGAAGGCGGAGGTTGAAAATGTTTCGGGCAAGAAGATTAAGGCAATCAAGTCCGACAATGGAGGAGAGTATGAGTTGGAAGCTTACAAAAACATTTGTAAGGAGCATGGCATTGTTTTGGAGAGGACCATTCCCGGTAAACCTCGCCAAAACGGGGTAGCGGAGCGGATGAATAGGACTTTACTGGAGAGGGCAAGGTGTATGAGGTTGTTTGCGGGCCTCCCAAAGTGTTTTTGGGCGGATGCCGTTAGTACCGCGGCTTACTTGATAAACCGTGGACCTTCGGTACCTTTGGAATTCAAGATACCGGAGGAGGAGTGGAGTGGTAAGGAGGTGTCCTACACTCACTTGAAGACCTTTGGTTGTGTGGCCTATTTGCAATCCGAAAAGAGAGACAAGCTAGACCCAAAAGCCATCAAATGTTACTTCATTGGGTATGGATGTGAGAAATATGGTTATAGATTGTGGGATCCTAAGAATCGAAAGATTGTTAGGCATTGTGACATCACTTTTGATGAGAGCTCTTTGTACAAAGACAACTTTGGTGGGAAATCCGTTGAGAAAGAATCAATTGAAGATGAGCGGGAATTTGTTGAGCTAGATGGTAAGGTTAGAAGTGATAAGGAAGTTGAACAGGTAGAATTTGAGGTGCAAATTCAACAAGCATCTCCTCAACATGGTGCTCATGTTCCGGTGGATTCGGATTCAAGTGATTCGGATGATGATGATCACTTGGAAACGGATGAGCGAGTAGTTATGGGTGAGCCCGTTGTGGTTCATGGAGAGCCATCTACACCACCAACGGTGAGGAGATCATCAAGAACAATCAAGCCACCACACCGATATTCTCCATCCTTGCATTATTTGTTGTTGACGGATTCCGGTGAGCCGGAATGTTATAAAGAGGCAATGGGCATGGGTGACTCGTTGAAGTGGGAGCAAGCAATGGAAGATGAGATGTCTTCATTGGAGAAAAACAACACTTGGGTGCTGGTTGAGTTGCCTAAGGGCAAGAGAGCACTTTTGTGCAAGTGGATCTTTCGAAAGAAAGAAGAACCGGATGGTACAATTCGGTACAATGCAAGACTTGTGGTGAAAGGTTTTTCACAAAAGGAGGGCATTGATTATCATGAGATCTTTGCTCCGGTTGTGAAGCTAACCACTATAAGGATCTTGTTGGCTATAGTGGTTTCGGAGGACTTATTTCTTGAGCAAATGGATGTAAAAACCGCGTTTTTACACGGTGATTTGGAGGAGGAAATCTACATGAAGCAACCGGAAGGGTTTCAAGTTCCGGGTCAAGAGAACTTGGTGTGCAAGCTTAAACGGAGTCTATATGGGTTGAAACAAGCTCCTAGACAATGGTACAAGAAGTTTGACAATTTCATGCTAGGCAATGGTTTCGTGAGAGCGGAAGGTGACCATTGTTGCTACTTTCAAAGGTATGACAATGGCTATATCTACTTGCTTTTGTATGTTGATGATATGTTGATTGCGGGAACTAGTATGGAAATTGTCAATGACTTGAAAAAGAAGTTGTCAAGAAGATTTGAGATGAAAGACTTGGGTGAGGCCAAGAAAATACTTGGCATGAGAATTTCTAGGGATAGCTCAACGGGTGTGTTGAAGTTATCTCAAGAGGAGTATGTCAAGAAGGTGCTTAAAAGATTTAACATGATTGATGCAAAGCCTCGAAGCTCACCTCTTTCAAGTGAGCTCAAGTTGACTAACGAGGATTGCCCAAAGACAAGGGAAGAGAAGGACAAAATGGCCATTGTTCCTTATGCTCGGCCGTTGGTAGCATGATGTATGCTATGATTTGCACGAGGCCCGACATTGCTCACGCAGTGGGAGTTGTGAGTAGGTTCATGTCAAATCCGGGTGAGAGACATTGGGAAGCCGTGAAGTGGCTATTGAGGTATTTGTTGGGTACTTCAAGTATGGCTCTTTGCTTTAGGAGAAATGGAGTTGTTTTGGAAGGTTTTGTTGATGCCGATTTTGGAGGATGTTATGATTCAAGCAAAAGCACTTCGGGGTATGTGTATACTATTGGTGGTACGGCCATTAGTTGGATGAGCAAGCTCCAAAAGTGTGTCTCTATGTCTACGACGGAAGCCGAGTATGTGGCTATGTCGGAAGCGGGAAAGGAGATGGAATGGTTGAAGGGTTTCCTTGAAGAAATGGGCATGAAACAAGATGTTTGTGCGTTGTATAGTGATAGCCAAAGTGCGGTTCAATTGGCTAAGAATCCTATGTTTCATTATCACACTAAACACATCAAGAGGCGTTATCACTATACTAGGAGTTTGGTGAAGGATGACACGATGTGTTTGAGGAAGATTGCCGGTTCAAAGAATCCGGCGGATATGCTCACTAAAGCTGTTTCTAGTGACAAATTGAGGTTGTGTAGGACCTCAATTGGACTCCATC